AAAAAAAAAAAAAAATTCTTTCTGTTAACATAGTATGGTAAATGCCTTTCAAAATGCTACCTAACTTCAGTGTCAGCACCGCTCCACGGGTATCCTGTCTTCTCTTCCCTTCCTAACCATCTCTCGCTTGCCCCTTCCCAGACTCATTTGGTCAGAGTATTTATTGGTTAAACTATTTATTGAGGACCTAAGAATGATGAGACACTGAGGAAGACTTCAAGGATAACTAACTCATGGTTTCAGACCCAAGCATCTCTCTCTCTCTCTCTCCTTGTGTTTCTTACTCTGCCTTATTTTAGTTATTTACTTGTCTTGTGGGTTATTGTTTTGTTGGTTTCCAATTACCTTGCAAATTCATATTACCTTTTGCCTTGGAGTTGAGAAAGACCTCACATTCAACAACGTTTCTTTAGAACCCTTCTATATGTCTAAGACATTCTACCCTAATTCAAATGGCTTGTTTTATTAAGTCTCCAGCATTATTTCTTCAAAATTACTTTTACCCACCCCCCGCCCCACTTTCTTTGGATCTGACCAATGCTTCTTTTGCTCTTCAAACTTTGCTTCTGAGTAATCAAGACCATCCCATCGACGAGGCTACTTCACATTACTCCATCTGTTTCCTTGACTTGTTCCTAAATTATTTCTGAAACTAATGGAACTGAGTGGCCATTGCATAAAGAGTACTATAACAGATACTTTAAGGAGATCCAATAAAAAAAAATTACTTCTTCAAATACATTTGCAGTTAGATTGGACAATGAGGAGACTTGGCAGGGCGGATCAGAGCAAAGAGTTTTCCTGACACTTGAGAATTTATTTGCACATAGACCATATAACATACGGGGGAAGACAGTGCTAATATTGTATAATTCCTTTTTATTATCGAGCACTTTGTAATGGATGTGACTATTGATAAATAATAAATATTATAATGTGCAAAGACCTGACTTTTGATTGCCTGTTATTTTCAATTCTGTCTTACCCAAAGATGGAGTTTTTAAAAATCAAAATGTTATTCTATTTCCTTTCCAACTAGTCCATTTACATTAGAAAGATGTCAAGAGTTTTAGAAACATGCTTTGAAACAAAAATTTTATATATAATTTCAAAAGCAAAAAGTTAGAAACCAGGTAGCTACCAGGTGAAGCATGTTACCATACACCAATCTTTAACTTAGAAGCAAATGTTCTTAGATAAAATAATTGACACTAAGCTATTATAGACTATAGAGTGTAAAAGGCTTTACAATTTAAATATTTCAAATGCCAACGGATTTAAATAAACAGAATCAAAAGACAGTCGCATTTCAGTTTTATGACCTAATTCTTCAGATATAGCAGATTTTCAGAGCATATTACTTGAAATTAAAATAATCAGTAAGTGAGGTCTAAAGAATGTAATTTTATTTGAAAACCTAATTCCACAGGGTCATCAATAAAAGCACTCAAGGAGTAGCTACAGTCCGTTCTTTTCACTCGAGTGCCAGCTGTATTTGCTTTATGCATCAGACCCTCTGGCAACACCACAGCCTCTGACTCCTGTGAGCTGAGGAAAGGCTTTATGAGTCATGTGTTTTTTCTAGGGATATTGAGCTCTCAGAATTATTAACTACAGAAAGAGTAAAAGTCAAAACTCATTCAATAAATTCCAGTGTGCTCAGATGGAGAGAACAGGTGCCTGAACGCACATCTGAAGAATAACTTAGAGAGGATGCCTTCCAACTCGGCTGCAAGCCTCTCACTAAGCAGTCCTGGGGATCTCGCATTACGACCACAGAAGAACGCAGGCAACACTGGACGGACCAGAAAAATCTCTTAGGTTCATCACTCATACTGAGAACACTGCCTTCAAACCTCTCATTTCCATCTGCAGTGGTGATTTAGAGATACAGAACTGCCATCTAGTGACTAAGAAGGAAAAAGCAAGGACTTGCCATGAAAAATATTTTTTTTTTTACATAACAAAGCACTAAAGTTAGTAAAATTCACACAACTCAGCATATCAAAGTTCTAGTAAAACTTCAAAACGTATAAGTGAACCAATATACCTATTTGCCTCTATAATGTATCTTGACATCTGACTCATACATGGTATCATTTAAATATAATAAAATTTAGAATAAACTTCTCATCTCATTCATCTGATGATTTTGGCATACGGTGATTATCCATGTAAAAGGATAATTTTTATCATAGTATAAGTATAAAATCAAACAGATCTACACTCAAATAGTGGGTCTATCCTTTATCAAGCCTGTGATCTTATGCAAGTTACTTTTACCTCGTATAATCATTTTCTTAGTTAAATGTGCATTATAAGAGTTACTTTAAAAGATTATTGTTAAGGATTTCTTAAGGTAATAGAGTGAAAGAAGAGGTATACAGTAGGTTGACAATTAATTTGAGTTTTCTGTATCCCCTTTATGGACACTTACTTTAGGCTGTCATGAAACATACCCATATCATCTAAGAAAAGAATCAGCCCATAAAATAAATGTATGACAAAGAGTTAATGATTGCAAAAGTAAGTGATGTCATTGTTGGGCGCTTAATCTCGATTGCTTCCAAATATTGTTACCTCTCAATTAATTTTCCTGACTTCTAGACACTTCACTGTCGACAAGGATAAGATGTAACATTTGTTCAACCTATTTCACCCTTGAGTCTTCAAGTTGTAAAATCAAGTGTTTTAAAATAACCTACGGCATTAGGTTTCTGCTTATTGCTATACATATATATATATATATATTTGAGACGGAGTCTCGCTCTGTCGCCCAGGCTGGGGTGCAGTGGTGCGATCTCGGCTCACTGCAAGCTCTGCCTCCTGGGTTCATGCCATTCTCCTGCCTCAGCCTCCTGAGTAGCTGGGACTATAAGCACCCGCCACCACACCCAGCTAATTTTTTGTATTTTTAGTAGAGACAGGGTTTCACCTTGTTAGTCAGGATGGTCTCGATCTCCTGGCCTTGTGACCCGCCCGCCTTGGCCTCCCAAAGTACTGGGATTACAGGTGTGAGCCACCGCGCCCAGCCCCATTGTAATATATTTTACTATGGTCCATCGCTCAGGAAAAACACTCTATAATGTTACACACATGAATATATATCTTGAAATAGCATAATATAGAAAGCAATGTTGTACATGTTTTATCATTGTTGATATTATCAAATACTTCCTGTTCAGGTTCTCTTTGACATTATCATATATAACAATTGATTCATACACGTCCTGGACATAAGAATTTAGAAAAACTTAATATATTCCTTTAAATCACAATTTAGCCATGCTTTCCATGAAAGAAAGGCTTAAAAAGTGAGGGAAGATTTGGGGGTACTATTTTTCTTAATAATTGCTGACCTTACTATTTCTTTTTACCTTTTTATCTTTCTTCATCTTTTTTGCTGCGGGCTAATCATTGCAGATAATTAAGGGACCATCAGTTGAGCCCACCATGCCTCTCCAAGTGCCACCAAGTTGATGTAGGCCTCTGCTCCCATAACAATAAGCTGCAAAAGCTTGCTTTTTTAATGAACTGTCCTTAAGGATAGCTAATCTCACTGCATTTTTGAAAATTACCCAGGTGCTGTTTTCAACCAATGTTATACCCCAATTTCTCCTCCAGGGGGAGCACAACCTTCATGTATAACAGGGATTCTTTTCTGAAGGGAAGTTACTTTATTCTTTGATGACTTCTCAGAGATCAGCAATAATTTAATTTTACAGAGAAGAACCCTATGTCCCAGGTAATCTAAACATGTTGTCATCACACTAATCAGAAATAGATCCGGGTGTAAAACCCAGGTATGTGTCTCCTCATTTTCTCCTAGACCACCAACAGAACAGAACACATCTTTTTACTATTCATTTCTAAAACTAAGTTACTGTCAAAAGCATAGCTGGGTGAAAATGTAAATTAAGCAAATGGTTTTATATCCAAAAAAGCAATTGCTATTCACAATTACTATTCCATACAAATGTTTCCTTTCTTGCAGCCTTTTTTTTTTTTTTTAAATAAGAAATCCATTTTAGCATAAGAAAAAAAAAAACACAAAATTTGGCTTTTTTGGTAACTGATATGGTTTGGCTCTGTGTCCCCACCCAAATCTCATCTTGTAGCTTCCATAATTCCCACATGTTGGGGAGGGCCCTGGTGGGAGATGACTGAATCATGGGGGCTGGTCTTTCCCATGCTCTTCTCATGATAGTGAACAGGTTTCACGAGATCTAATGGTTTTAAAAATGGGACTTTCTCTGCACAAGCTCTTTTTTGCCTGCTGCCATCCATGTAAGATGTGATTTGCTTCTCCTTGCCTTCCGCCACAAACTTGTGAGGCCTCCCCAGCCATGTGGAACTGCAAGTCCAACAAGCCTCTTTCTTTTGCAAATTGCCCAGTCTTGGGTATGCCTTTATCAGCAGTGTGAAAACGGACTAATACAGTAACAGGAAAAAAAAAGTTTCTGTGGAAATTAAACAGATACTAATTAATGTTTCATCCACCAAAGTAATAAGAATCTTATTTGACTTTAGCAAAGCTCTGACAGATTTTTTTTTTTAAAGATCATAGCCATGGGACTATTTGAGCAGGCGCATCTCGGCAGACTTCTCCCTGGAGTGGCTACCGTTTCCTGCTGGAGCCAGCTGTCATTGGGCCCAACTCTTTGGCTGGATATAGAATAAAACAGCTTCTGAAAAGCTTGTACTCAGTTCCACTTCAAGGCTGATTTTCTACGCAAAAAAATAAATGGAAGAAAACATCCCCTTCTGCCTGACTGGATTCCGCTGCAGGCTTAGGGAAAACAGGGGCATCCTAGCCAGCCGGGCAGATGGAAAGATAAATCGCAGAGTCTGTCACAATCTTAAGACAAATAAGACAGATGGGAATCTGACATCCTAATAAGATTGTCTTACCTTCTGGACAGCATCCGAGCGTTTTTTGGGAGTTTCCGAAACAGCAGATTGAGATTCTAGTTTGGAAAGGAAGCAGAGAGTCAGTATCTTAAAGGATAATTTTCCTATTTCTTCAATCAGAAAATAAAACTTTCAGTAAAATATATCATTAACCATAAGTACCAAGACTATCCGGTCTCTTTCCCGATTATATAACTGGGTTATTAGGATATGACTACTTCTCAGTATATATAATACATATAATGAGAGTGCCCACGTCATTTTTTAAAATTGGGATATTCCTAAGGCCTTCTCTATATATCAACTATCCTTATTTGTCTCAATTGCTAGTTTCTAAATGGTGCCAGAAAGTCCTTCTAAGACTTTCACAGAGTATCTGATTCACTTAGCTGAAGCCTGTGTCACGGTAGAAGCTACCGCACCAAGGTTGAAGGATGGGTTCTCAAAAGCCTTGTCTAACTGTTGTCAAATTGCCCCTTGATTTCAATGAGAGATAATGAACACTGTTACCAAGAGACACTGAGTAAGGAGGGTTTCTGAAGCGGTTTTTCTCTTTTAGTCCTCATGTCATCTGAGATTCTACGAGACTGCAAATTCATCATGCTAAAAAAACCTAAGGCATAACCAAGTCACAGATTCTTTTTTCTTAAGCTACAGGGCACTTTCTTCTAAGTGAAGCTTGCATGCAAATTTAAAAGTAAAAGGGCCTTTACGATAAAAATAAAAATGAAAGGGCCTTCAAGGGATCCCTCACGCTCCATGAATCAGAGCCTGAAAAACCACTAATCTCATCCATCCTCCGCACCTTTCAGAGGAGAAATTCAACGCCTATAACGCAAGCGGTTGTTGGCACGGTGAAGACGAGAGTTTATATCTCCTGACTGTCACGTTGCTCCCCTGACTGGCATGCAGACCAGACCCTGGACACAAGGCACAGCAGTCACTGGTTTTTTTTTTTCTTTCTTTTTTTTTTTTTTTTTTTTCCGAGATGGAGTTTCGCTCTCTTGCCCAGGCTGGAGTGCAGTGGCGCAATCTTGGCTCACTGCAACCTCTGCCTCCCGGATTCAAGGGATTCTCCTGTCTCAGCCTCCAGAATAGCTGGGATTACAAGCACCCACCACCACGCCCAGTTAATTTTTGTATTTTTTTAGTAGAGATGAGGTTTCACCATGTTGGCCAGGCTAGTCTCGAACTCCTGACCTCGTGATCCATCCACCTTGGCCTCCCAAAGTGCTGGGATTACCGGCATGAGCCACCCCACCCAGCCAGCAGTCACTCTTTATGGTCATTTTGACATTTCCAATTTAGCAGCATGGTAGCTGATGTAAGTGACAATGCTACAGAAAAATAAAAGGCATTTAGTATTCAAACAGCATAACATACTGTTAAGCTACATTGAAAGTTACATTGAAAGCTACATTGAAAGTTTTCATTTCACTCAGATGAGAATCTGTCTCCACAGGGGCCCACAAGGCCTGGTTTCAACTAGTGTTACTCACTGGCCTCTCTACCCACCTACATCTGTACCAACTTGCTCACCAGGCCAGCCACCCTGGCCAGCTTGCTTGTCTTGTAACACACCAGTCATGCTTCTTCCATAGGGCTGCCAAAGCCACAGTGGCTACTGTCTCTGCCCAGAGCACTGCACTCACTCTTCTTCCCAATATCTGCAAGCCCCACTCTGTGGCTGCTTCCTTCAGGGCTTTGCTAAAGCAGCAACCCCACCCACTCCTTAGCACCCACCACACACTCACCCTTACTTTCTTCGTAACCTGGATCATCACACCATATATACTCCATAATGCATTTGGTTGCCTACTTATTTATACCTGTTATTCCACTAGAACATAAACTCTGTGAAAGCAAGAACTGTTGTCAGTTTTTCCCCTTGTTGTGTCCCCCACATCCAAATAGTGCCTGGCACTTAGTAGGTGCTTAAAATATTTGTTGAGTAATTGTAGGAGTGAATGAAAGAAACACGAAAGATCAAAGCAATGATGAGACCATGAAAGTGGGTTCCACCATGAAAAGCTGGGTATCCTGGGCAGAGAAAGAGACAGTAAGGATTTTACATGAGACGATATAGATATTGCCTCGCCGTTCGCTATTTTCTGAATCTCAGCTAAGAGCATATATTTTAAAACAAAAATCATTGAGAATAGCATGATGCAGTCACTTACCAATAAGTGTCACAGTGGCAATAAACAATTGGCCTTAAAATACAACCATTTCCCCAGATAAATATAGTATATCATTGAGCTAATCAAAAAGAGATTCTTCTCTCTTATATTGACAAATCTCTACTCTGAACTTAACACCGGAGTTAGCCAAATTTTAATAAAGATATTTAACAGCAAAGCTAGTTAACAGTTAATATTAAAGCAAATCCAAACTCCAGAATGCTCTTTTTTTCTATTGTTTTTCATCACTTCCAAACCCTCCCAAACACAATAGACTCAAGACAAGTCTTGGCTTTGTACCAGTGGGGAAAAGTCTCTCTTCCTCTTCTATTTAGATCATGCAATAAGAGCCTAAAGGTTCTCCTGGTGGTACACAAAGAGTTAAATGCTTTCCAGCTTTTTCTATAGTCCTTGACCCGGTAACCAAACCCAGCAAGTAAACTTCTGGGCTCTGATGGTAAAGAACAAGTGCAGTTTATCAGAAAAACATACTTAGAAAACCACGTTTATTAGAAAGATACATCAGCAAAATATTCTGCACACCTACACCCAAACTTTCAGCCTCTCTCTGTCTAATTCGATAGCTACCGAACTGAATTCATTCTCCCATCCCTAACCATTTCACTGTAGTTTTTATTTGTGTGAATCTGTGTGTTAAAACATCAAAGAGAAATTTGTAGGTTGAAATACTGTCTTCAAAATCATAAGCTGGAAAATAGGAGTTCTAGAAGGTCACGATTTTAAGAGGAATGAGACGTACAGAATAACTCTACTGAAAAATAAAGGGAAAATCAATGAGAACCACTGAGAGAGGAGAGAAAAATACACGATAAGGAAAAAGAAAACAATACAGAATAAAAGAAAGAGAAATAGAAGGAAAAAGATATAGGAGGGAGAAAGTAAAGGGAAGCATGAAAAATGGCAAAAGTGTCCTTTAGGGAGCAGAGAGAAATTGATGTACCAGTAATGGCTGAAGAGAGGAGTCACTAGATAGGTGTATCTGAGTTATCAGCTTAGTTCCAACTTTCATAGCGCTCCCTAAAGGAAAATGATCACTCCCAGAACTCCCGGCACCCTCGTACCCAACACTCTCCTCTTCTCAGGATCCAGGAATTGCCTTAAACCCAGCTCTAGGACAGACTGACCATCTCCATCAAATACTCATCACTAGAATGGTTATTATTTTCAAAGAGTAACCCGGTAAGAGAGCTCTCAAGGGTACATTTAAAACTGCCACCTCCTTCACCCATCCTTAAAATTAAGACATCAGAATGTTCTTTTAAAAAAAAAAAAAAAAAAAAAAACAGGCCGGACACAGCGGCTCATGTCTGTAATCCCAGCACTTTGGGAGGCCTAGGCGGGTGGATCACAAGGTCAGGCCAATATGGTGAAATCCCGTCTCTACTAAAAATACAAAAATTAGCCAGGCCTGGTGGCGGGCACCTGTAGTCCCAGCTACTCTGGAGGCTGACGCAGGAGAATCACTTGAACCCGGGAGGCAGAGGTTGCAGTGAGCCGAGATTGTGACACTGCACTCCAGCCTGGTGACAGAGCGAGACTCAGTCTCAAAAAAAAAAAAAAAAATCATTATGAAGCAGAAACAGAGAGGGAGAAAGAACATTCCTTAAAAAAAAAAAAAAAAAAAGTTAAATATTCCATTTTAAAAAGTTACCTCATAAAATTCTGAGCGTAATCTAAAATTCTGGACTTCCTATGGTACCAAATATGTTTCAGGAGTGACCTCTTTTTCATCACAAAATAAGCCGTTCACTCATGAAACAAAACATACTTGGATGAGCTGTGTATTTATAGAGAGAAGACAAGGCAATGAGCGGGATATGCGTCTCTGCTAAAAAGGGAAAATAAACCAGCCTTTTAAAATATATATACAAAATATGCCTTCTAAAAATGAATGAAGTAGTCTCTAAATAGTTTGGCATTTTAAGTTCAAATGCAGCTACATAAAATTATTATATGATAGCTTCTTTAATGGTATATACCATTTGATTCAAATCCAGTCAATTTAACTGAAACGTAATTCATTAAATTTCATTTAAATAGCATGACTTATGATTGGCTGCCTAATAAATGCAAGATGTTTTTAATTCTGATATACCATGTCTTTCCAAAAATGAAGATGAGGTTAAATACTTGAATTTTCCTAAATGAGGCCAATTCCATGATCTGCTTATTTGATTATTTAATAGTATTGAGGCTCTGCCTCTCATTGTCAACAAAATATAGCCACACCTAGGCTATAGTTAGCTCAGGAGAAAAGGAAGGCCAATTTTATAGAAACTATATGTATGCGTGTATATATATACACACACGTATATATACATATATGTATATATACATGCATACATACACTATATAATATATATTCAATTCAACATATTATATAATTAATATATAATATATAATCATAAGCCAATCATATAATATATATTATCTAAGATAATATATTTTATCTATATATAATGTAGTTACATGTTGACAATGGAGAATTATCTTTGGGAGATACAGTCAATCTACTCCAGTACATTTTACTCCTTGATTAAGTGAGAGGCTCAGAAAGGTAGAATACTACCAAGTCTCCCCTGGTCCCTTACAGAATTTCTGCATTATCTCAACCGAACTTTTGTGAAAACATTTGAACAAAACACAGAAATGGACCGGGCATGATGGCTCATGCCTGTAATCACAGCACTTTGGGAGGCCAAGATGGGAGGATCACTTAAGCCCAGGAGTTCAACACCAGCCTGAGCCACATGACAAAACCTCATATCTACAAAAAATTTTAAAAAATTAGCTGGGCATAGTGGCTCACACCTTTAATCCCAGCACTTCGGGAGGCTAAGGTGGAAGGATCACTTCAGCTCAGGTGGTGAAAGCTACAGCGAGCCAAGGTCATGCCACTACACACCAGTCTGGGCGACAGACTTAAACCCTGTCTCAAAAAGAAAAGAAATGAGTTGATACTGTATTGACCTTGCACGGCACAGAATCTTTTCTGTTAAGAACCATTAGAGACACTTCTTTGGGATATGAATTGTGCTTCTCTGAGTGACTGTGTTTTCAATCTCATGGACACTGAGGAAGACATTCACATTCCCCTTTCTGCTTTACAATTACCTTGAAAAATGGCAGATCCTTATGAGATACATTTCACGGGGCTGTCTTAGCTCAGCTTCATTTTATCGTTCCATCCTAAATTTCTTTTAGTTTGATCTATATTCCTTATTCCTTTATGATCCTTTTGTACATTTTACATATTTATAAGCTGCTCAAATCTTTTTTTGAAACAAAGGTGAATTACAATGTACTCAGCCAGTGCATAACTGCATTTTAAAGGATTTTCACCTGAAAATATCCTGCCATGGTTCTTTGTTTCTTTCTTTTCTTTTATTCCTTGCAGCAGGAAGTCATCTACCATGTTTCTACCAGATCCTCTTCCATATATTTTCTTCTAGGATTTTCTGTGCCTTGATTCTCTTTCTAAAAAGTCAGTTCTCTGTCTCCTCTCGGCCATTCACATTTTCAAAGAAAGGTGAGGGATTTGATTTTCCATAGATGAAACGACAATGATCAAAAGCCCCTATGCACATCTACACACCTGCTCCTGCTCCGGGTTCTCCATGAATTTGAAAACTCAAGTTCATTATTTGATGTTGTTCAAATCTATTGAATGACCTTTGAAACTTGGTATTGAGCCCCGAAATTGGTCCATGAACTGTTTTAGCCCATACAAAACTCTCCCTTAAATCTTGCATTAATGTGCTACGTAAATGTTTATTTAGATCTTTTCCAGCAAAAGATTTTCATCATTCACTCAAATATTTAAGTATATACTATGTACCGGAAAGTCTTGAAATTCTGAAAGCTGATGGGGAAGACATGTATATATATAAACAGAAAAATTCAATACATAAAGCATTCAGATGACAGAGACAGGAACAGGATGTCATGGGACTCCAGAAAAGAGCCCGCGAGTGGTAAACAGCCATGGATGGGTGGGTGCGTGCTGTGTATAGGCAAGGGAAACTGAGGGAGAAGATAAAGTGAAAATGATAAATAGAAAGGGTTTCTTTCTATCAATGTTTTTGTCACCAACTGGTTTTGGTTTTTTATTTGTTTAATGCCACCAACATGGGAAGCATATGACTTCCTTTTTTCCCAGCCAGTCTTATCCTTCAGGGGTGTTCTGCAGACTTCAAAAGGTCAATGCTAACACCTTAGGCCCATCTGTGGAGGCAATGCCAACTGCAGAGGGAGCTAGGATGAGAGCAAAGGACTGCCAGGAATCTGCAACTCACTGGTGAGAAGAGGCACCAAGACCTCACCATAGCCTCAGCCCTTCCAATTCATACAAAGAAGGGGCAGTTCCTTCACCAACCCATAAAGGAAGAAAAAAACCATCTTTCACAGAAGAGATCATGAAAAAGTTAAAGTGAGATGCTCCCTATGCAGTTAAAGTGAGATACACGAAAAAGGCAGAAGAGACAGTACCACAAATCTGAATTAGCTGGACATGTGAATTAGGTAACCAATTTTAAGAGCTGGAAAAAAGGCCGAGCGCAGTGGTTCATGCCTGTAATCCCAGCACTTTGGGAGGCCGATGAGGGGTGAATCACCTGAGGTCAGGAGTTCAAGACCAGCTGGGCGAACATGGTGAAACCCCGTCTCTACAAAAATACAAAAATTAGCCGGGCATGATGGTGGGCGCCTGTAATCCCAGCCACTCGGGAGGCTGATGCAGGAGAACGTCTTGAACTCGGGAGACAGTGGTAGCAGTGAGCTGAGATCATGCCACTGCATTCCAGCCTGGACGACAGAGTGACACTCCAAAAACAAACAACAACAACAACAAAATGAGCTGCAAAAAACAACAAACGAAGCAAGCAAAAAAAAAAAAAAAAAGTCCTCCATTTTCTAAGCTAGACCTGCAAGTCTTTCTTCTTCTTCTTCAAAAAATGTCATTGAACTCTTTTACTTTGAATTAAAATAGAAAGGGGTCAGCCGGGCACAGTGGCTCATGCCTGTAATCCCAGCACTTTGGGAGGCAGAGGCGGGTGGATCACTTGAGGTCAGGAATTCGAGACCAGCTTAGCTAACATGGTGAAACCCCATCTCTACTAAAAATACAAAAATTAGCCTGGCCTGGTGGTAGACGTATGTAATCCCAGCTACTCGGGAGGCCAAGGCAAGAGAATCGCTTGAACTCAGGAGGTGGTGGTTGCAGTGGGCTGAGATTGTGCCATTGCACTCCAGCCTGGGTGACAGAGTAAGAACCCACAAATAAATTTTTTTAAAAAAAGGGAGGTCATGTGTTATATACAGTGAATTTAACCATGATGTCACCACATAAGAATATGCACCTATCAGTTAACTACAAATAGATCATTACCATTAATAATTATATCATCAAACTTTGTGATTGATGTAAAACATGAGACTGTAGGCAAAGTTTACCTATGATATTGACATTCCCACTCTTACAACTGACTGATTAGAAGAGAGTGTGGTATGGCTCTGGGAATGAGGCTGTCTCGTGGAAGTGTCTTTCCAAATGAACGTCAGGGAGTCACAACAGAAAAAGTTTAGAAAGACCCATTAGATCACTCTGATGAAAAAATGCTACAATAGATCAACCAGAGAAAAATAAGTCACTAAGTTAAATTACTTCTTACCTCCATCATCCTCTTCAAGAATGCATTTTTAAAAAGGAGACAAGTTATTTCATTAAAAATCACTAGCTCTGGCATTTTGCAAGCTACAATAAATCATGAAGCACAAACCAGGTGACAAACTTCCTAGTATCAATTCCAACTTCATCTTTAACCAAAGTAAAATTCAGATGATCACACTCAATTAACTTTGAGTCAAGTGTTCCACCAGTATATATGCCAGCAACATAAAATGTTTTATAATGTTTTATAAAGTGCCCTAAAATTGAAGAATATCATATAAATGTTTCAGTTAAACAAGTTGAGAATGATACAGTAGGGAACAGAAAACAGGAAAATATCACCCAATCAATGATGCAAAACATGGGATATAAACAACTGTTAACAGGACTCTCCACGCAATTGATTAATTCAACTATATCTACCCCTAAGTATTTTGTATCACTAAATGTGATCATAAATAGAGTAGTGTAGAAAATGGGATCAATACTTTTAATTGTGTGTTTTACTTTAAAACTAAAAGTCTCTTTACTTCCTTGATTTTCAGGCACTATCATGGTAGAGGTCTCTCATCTCTGAAGATCTTTGCTTAAAGGAAGTCTGCCTTGGCCTTTGAGAAACTGCTGTCTGTAAGTGTTGTGATAAACTCAGCGTCCTTCCTGGAACAGCATTTCCTACACCTTCTCTCTCACTTGTTCGTTTCAGGGAGTACAGCCCACCCAGGGAATACCACGCAGTGTTTCAAAAGCACTGGACACTTAAAAAGGGAGATTCAAGGTCAAGTGTGGGCCCCAATTTCAGTGCATTGGTGGGAAAAAAAAAAGGCACAAATACATCCCTCCAGAGACAGGGATAAAAATGGGAGGCAAGGTTCCCTTTGCAGAACTTTGGGTGGGGGACTGGAATAAAACCTTTTACATTGTTGGTCATTGTTGGTTGAAAGGGACCTCATGAATAAGGCAATGACATGAAACAGTGATAATTATAATAAATAATATTAAATACACTGAGCTAGGCACTGCATTCTGCATTCTAATGCTTCATACAAATGCCTGTAATTCTCAAAACAGCCCTACACAGTACATGCTATGCTCATCACCATTTTACAGATGAGAAAACTGAATACAGTTGTTAGGAAATTTGCCTGAGATTACAAAGCTAATAAGTTGGCAGAGCCCAAGCTTCATGCTTTTAAGTTATGCTCTTCTACTATGCATCCAAAATAAGTTTCTAATGACTATCTTCCTCTCTATGAGTCAATCAGAAAAAAAAAATCAAAATTCTTAACTCTAACATCTATGTTACCATTTAGGAAAATCTAGTGGAGAAATCTATGAATAGCAATGATGCTCTTCTATTCACTCCTCACTCATGCTTCAGAAATCAATATTTATGCCTGGTCAGTCCACCAGGAAGAAGTTGGGAATTTATTACAACAAAATGAAGAAAAGTCCAGGTGCGGTGGCTCATGCCTGTAATTCCAGTACTTTAGGAGAATGGAGAATCGCTTTAGCCCAGGAGTCTGGATCAGCCTAGGCAACAGAGTGAGACTCTGGCTCTACAAAAAATTTAGCCGGACATGGTAGCGCACGGCTGTGGTCCCAGCTACTTGGGAGGCTGAGTTGGGAGAATTGCTTGAGCCAGGGAAGTCGAGACTGCAGTAACCCATTGCTCCACTGCACTCTAGACTAGGTGACAGAGCAAGACCTTGTCAAAAAAAAAGAAGAAGAAGAAGAAAAGGGAGAAAACAATCCTATTCCATAAAGCATTATTCCACAAATATGGTTCTCAATTCTGTATGACAAATATAAAGTGTTTTCTTAAAATCAGCCTAGGGGGTCATCATCCTGCTGAACTCCTCCAAATAAACCTGAGGCTAATCTCACGCTATCTTCCCAGCCAATAACACAAAATACTTTAAGACAACAGAAGGAACAAAGAGAGAAAAGACCCCAAAATAAAAATTTCTTAAAGATTATATCTGAATGCCACGCAATTAAAAATTAAAGATTACTTAAAATTAAGATTTAATAAAACGTATATCTCTCTATCTTGCCTCTTCCAGTTATCTCTGAAGACAAAGGAAACACTTACCTGTTTCAGCATCCCTGAGCCTGTGTTCTTCATCAGGAGGTTTGGATGGTGGCCCCATGGATGGGACTCGCCTAGGAAACTGCCCTTCTGAATAGTCCAACGAGTGTGTGGGTTGACTAACTGCAGCCCAGGTATAAAGCTGATCTTGCTATATTTAAAAATAAAAAATGGTGAAATGCTATTAATTCGGTTACAAAAAAAGAAGCCATGACTAATATATTGCAAAATCATTTCTATGTATATTACTTATATATGCATATATATATTAAACATTAAAACAGCATTTTATACTATTCAGTGTAGATTCCTAAGATACACATTTTTTTCATGCAGTCATTTTATCTTTATAACCACATTTGCCTCAACTTCATTTCTATAGTAAAACCTTCGCCTCTTTCTTTGGAGGGAGAGAGGCTATATAGCCCCGCAGGGAATTATAAAATCAGACAGTTCAGACACTCAATCAGAGAACTCCCTGAACTAGCATCTTTAATTCATCTGAATATGATATCCCTTTTAAAATTGTTTATATACTTGTGGGAATGTTAAAGGACAGGCTGTACTTGGGCACCACAGGACAATAATAGCTCCCGTGCCTTCAACCACAAAAGGCCCAGGAAACCGACTTATCTGGGGTCCAGGTTGCAAACTGTTTGGGAGAGAAACCATGAAAAAGTGAATGAACCTGCCAAGAAAAAAAAAAAAAAAAAGAATTGAATAGGGATCTTCTGGCCAAGAAAGACCTCACCAGCTACAGACCCACAGAATCTGGACAGAATGAGAAAGCAGCTAGTACTATACCTAGGGCCAGGAGACAAACTACAAATCTCACAAGGAAGCCTGCTCCACGGCCTATAAACACCTTGGAAAACTGCTCATTAGGATTTCAGAATAACAGTGTGTCCAGCCATTTTAGGATGCATATGCTTAATATATGCATGCCCTCTATTAGTGACATTTTTCTGAGTGTATTTCCCTAATACCTTTGATCCACGTCAAGTAAAGCAAAGAGAAGAACAGTATGGTAGAAGTGAAAAACAAAAAACCACTGTAATCCCTGGGTCGAGACTACAAAGTAAATGAGCAATCTGATGGATGTTGCTATTTCTGTATTTAACAAATTAAGAAATTCATAAAATAATCTCCAGCATGCTGGAGATACAATGTAGAGACCAGTTAGTTTAAGCTTTACATTTAGGGACAGTCATTAGCCCTAACTGAGAATTCAGATTCCTGGGGTCAGTCAGCTTTGGATCAGAAAGGATCACATTTCAGACCTGGCTAAGCATTTAAGCTACTCATATATCTTCCAGCTATCCCATCTTGACCAACACCAGAAACTGCACTATTTAGCATACTGAATATCAGAAACAGTTTTTTTTATTGCTGAAATTAGTGGCTTTAATTAACATAATAAATATTAGGTATGAGCTGTCACTGGTGAACCTGAAGGAATTCAATGTAAGTAGATTGAGTACGACATCAGAGAACATGCCCGCAATTAAAAAGGACAAAACTCAGGCAAGGGGTGATGTCAAGGTGTGACAGCCTGAGAGTGCTGCCTCCCCCTCTAGTTTAGGAGGATGTCTCTTTGCCTGTTGCCAGCAGTCGAGCACAGGGTCCTATTCCTTGGTGTTTGTATCACATGGACCTTTCACACAAGGCGAGGTCAAGCACCTACCAGCGTGGCAAGCTGGCCGTGCTCTGACTCTCAAGTCAGGTTGTATAGGCTCTTGTGCAAACTAATGTTGTATATTTAATAAATGTTTATATGTTGGGCAAAACTTCATTTGAGATTTGCTTTCATTAAAACCCAGTAAATCCTTGCCCCATATACAAAAATTCAAAATGGAACAAAGACCAAAACATAAGACCTAAAATTACAAAACTCTTAGACAAAAACATACAGGAAAAATTTCATAACATTTTTTTTGGCAATGAGTTATTGAATATGACAACAAAAGCACAAGCAACAAAAATTTTTTTAAAAAATCAGTGAAGTGAACTATATCATAATTTAAAACTCCTGTGCATCAAAGGACACAATCAGAGTGAAAAGGCAACCCATAGAATGGGAGGAAGTATTTGCAAATCAACTCTGATAAGGATTTAATATCCTGAATATAGAAAGAACTCCCACAAGTCAACACCAAAAAACAAATAACCTGATTTTAAAATGGGCAAAGGGCTTGAATAGACATTGTTTCAAAGGAGATACACAAAATAGTGAACAAGCACATGAAAAGATGCTCAATATCACTAATCATTGTGGAAATACAAATCAAAACAACAATGAGATCACCTCACACCCACCAGGATGGCTATTATTTAAAAAAACAAACAAACAACAACAACAACAACAACAGAAATAAAATAAAGGACCAGCCTGGGCAACATGGCAAAACCTCATCTCTACAAAAATATAAAAATTAGCCAGGTATAGTGGCACACACCTGTAGTCCTAGCTACTGGGACGCTAACATAGAAGGATCACTTGAGCCCCAGAAGTTGAAGCTACAGTGAGCCATGATCGCGCCACTACACTCCAGCCCAGCAAAAGAGCAAGGCCCTATCCAAAACAACAACAACAACATGATAGAACACAAGTGCTGGCGAGGATGTGGAGAAATTGAAAGCACTGTGTACTATTAGTGATACGGTAAAATGATACTGTTGCTATGGAAAACATATGGCAGTTCCTCAAAAAATTAAAAATAGAATTACCATATGATCCAGCAATTACACTTCTGGATATGTACGCAACAAAATTAAAAATAGGATCTTAAGGCC